TGCCATGACTCTCAGTAAATAATTTCCCCATAACTGGAATGGAAAGTAATTTCCCAGTAATTAGAATGCAAGTCGACCCTTCCACTCAAGTGGACTCATTCAAGTAGAACCCAAGTAGACCTTTTTATGACACCGGAGAAGAATGATCATGAAAATTAAAAACCCATCGGAATCTGATCTGACAATCCAGAAGCGGACAGTTTCATCTATTTACCTATCACCTAGGCAGGAAGGTCCTCCCACCCAAGAAGACAAAATCCTTTCTTTGACGTTTGGGCAGAAGTAGAGGCCCAATTAACATTTTGGAAGAAGCACAAAGTCCTGAGTTCTATCCCCAGTACCAGAAAAAAAAATTTTTTTTTTCAAAGAATTATTTTACTCATTAGTAAAAGTAAGGCGATCACATAGGCAAGAGGGTGCTTCAGAATTTAAGCGGGGTGGGGGAGTGGCACACGCCTGTAACCCCAGCACTCAGGAGGCTGAGGCAGGAGGATCGCTGTGAGTTCGAGACCAGCCTGGGCTACATAGTGAGTTCCAGGTCAGTCTCAACTACATAGTGAGACCCTGTCTCAAAAAACAAACAAACAAAAAAAGAACTTAACAGGGGCACTCAGTTCTTCCCACAGCAGCTCAGCACTGGGCACAATTAGCATCTTGGCTACGCTGGGTCATCTTTGAGATCTCGGGGAATAGAAGGGTAATATAGTTACGATGCACATTTGTCAAGGGGCTAAACACGAAGTATATTTTACAAAGACTACTTACAACAAAGCCGATATGATTTATACTTGCCCCACAAGAACATTCCAGAAAAGATCATGGGCCAAAATGGCAGGCTTCCTAGAAAGCCAAATTCCCAGGCACACAAGAGCTTACGAACACAATCATAAAAGACATCATTTAAGCTTGAATGTCATCTTTTTAAAGAATTTCCATGGTTCACCCTCGCATTTGGCAAACAATGCTGCCCCTATAATTGGGGAATATAAGGAGATGTTTAATAAACTCAAGTGAGCGGATAGAAAAGATTTCTGAGAAATGACCTCCAGGTTCTACAGTTGACTTGTGTCCCACAGAACTGCCTCGGGAGAGGAGCAGTGGAGAAAGGAAGGAAAATAAGCATGATGAGAGCCGGGTGTGGTGGCGCACGCCTTTGATCCCAGCACTCGGGAGGCTGAGGCAGGAGGATCACTGTGAGCTTGAGACCAGCTTGGGCTACACAGTGAGTCCCAGGTCAGCCTCAGCTACATAGTGAGACCCTGTCTCAAAAAACAAAAAGAAAATAAGCACAATGAGAGTTTTTTTATGGCTCCTTCTAAATCAAGGCTTCTCGATTCCTGACTCCTTCCTAACTGTGCATAACGAATTTGCATGAGCCCGCAGGGCAGTTCTGACTGCCAGCCCCCTTCCGACGAAAGGCCAGTCTCAGTGGCTTCTAAGGAAGCTGTGGCATCCAGCGGCCCCGACACTGCGAGGGCTTAACAGCCAGCCTGGTGGTTCTCCCAGAATCCCCCGAGGCAAGAGCTAAGGGCCGTCCCTGTTTTACAAGTGAAGAAACTGAGGCAGAGAGAAACAAGTCCCAGGGTCGCAGAGGCAGTGACCTACTGACAAATGGGGGCCACCACACTTCTCACGCAGATTTGACTCCGACTGCACAGCCAGCTGCTCAGTTAAGGACATAACAAGCCTGCCAATGATTGGTACTGCTAACTTAGCTTTCAGTAAATCCGTGAAAAGGAAAGAAAACAAAAGGCACAGAGAGTGAGCTGATTAAACATAAGTACAGTATGTTGAAGACTTCTGGCACCTAGGGCATCATGAGAAAAGGAGGCCCTGGGCTTCTTTGGGCGACCCCTCCTCTCTAGGTGCCTCTAAATGAGCCCCCTTGGCTCCCACCCTAGCTGATATTCTGCTGCCCGGGGCTCTTCCTGGGAGTTCCAGACTGCACCGAGAAACCAGCGTTCTGCAGAACCTCAGAATATGACACGCAGAATGAACCTGCTGGGTCCGATTGTGGACCAACCTCCGCATTTCACAGATGAGAAAACTGGGCTCTCGAAAGAGGAACTGACTCACCCAAAATCCACATCTAGAGGCAGGATGCGGGTGGAAACGGTGCTGAGCGCCTCTTCCCGGCTCACCTCCACCCATCTCACTGCCAGGTCCCCGCGGTGAGACACAGGCCGTGGGAAGCCCTCCCGTTCCCTTGTCCTTCCGGTTAGAGCTCGAGGCACTCGGCCCACAGAAGGCACTGTCCCTGTACCAGACAGCCCGTCAGAGGGGCAGACCAGGCCGGGACCCTCGGGTCCCTCTACACGACGGGCGGCCTGAATGAGGATCGCCTCGCTGGTCCTTCCTTCCCCGTGCCTGGAGTTTGGAAGGGTACAGCCCACGCAGAATTCATCTAGGTGCCCCTCTTGATCAGCACCCACTACTTGGCCCTCCCTCTGTCTAAACAGCGTCTCAACAACTAAGTCTCTTGCTCTCCACACCTTTCACTTCAACACTGACTGTTTTCTAAACGCTTTCGAGTTCCCTACTGCACCACAGAGTCAGTAGCCCATGTAGTTGATCCCTCCTTGAAGGCCCAGCACAGTGGATCATTCTTAGCCTTGATACACACTGGTACTTCTAAGAAGCTGCAATGCCAATCCCACCACCACACACACACACACACACACACACACACACACACACACACACACACACACACACACAACACACACACACACACACACACACATCTAAGCCACCCCCTGGGAGTGAAACCTGGACATCAGATATTTTTAATTTCTCATGTGGTTCCAGCCGAAATTAAGAAACTTTTTTCTAGAAAAATATTACGCCTGGGCTGGGGATTGAGCTCAGTGGTTCTGCCGCCTGCCTTGCAAGCACAAGGACCCGAGTTCGATCATTGGTACCAAAAAAAGAAAAATATTTCGCCAATGTAATTGTTTGTCAGTGTAATTGTGGGTAAGAAAGGATCACACATGACGAGGAAGGCAAAACTTAAAAAAATAAAACCTAAGTCTTAAGTGCTAGACAAAACCCTAAAGGCCACAACTAGCGCTGTCCGCCACCTTCCCTTTAGTCCTCCTGTGGCTGTTGTTCTTTGCCCTGACAACTCTGTTCTAATAGATAACAGTTTCGCTACCTCCTGATTTTATGGGAGCCCGTGTTTGACATTGTCAAATACTCCTAGGTGACTATTGCTGGTGTAGATCAGCCACTGGACAATCACGCACGTTTCAATTGTCAGGTGGAAGTCACAAGACCACCTTTCCAAACCGGACTGTGTGCCCAAGCACCCTGGACACCAGGGATGAGCAGGACTGAGGGCTCTACCGACCAGGGTGGGAAGTGGTCGAGGGGTCAGCAGTCAGTTCTGTGTCACTGAGTCACCGAGAAATCAGGTCAGGCCTGGAAAAGACCAAAACAAGCAGGAGAACAGCCAGGATATCGGCAAAATTGCAAAGCTGGAGGCAAGAGTGTCATCGAGGGTTAGGACAGGGGGTAACCACGAGGTTAGAGAAGGAGGGAAGGGCTGACAAAGGAGGGACTGCGACACGCGTCTAGCATAGCTTGCAGGCTGATGGAGCAAGGGACAGTGAGGGGAAGAAGGTAGGGAGTGGGAAGGCGACCTTCAAGCCCACCTGCCGTGGGTGCCTAAGATGCAACAAGGCTGTTACTCCACGGAGCTCCACGGAGCTGGGTGCAGCAGATTCAGAGCCACTTCGGGTTAGCAGCACCTGGTACAACAATGACTGCTCTGCAGGCCCCTGACCCACTTCCCCTGACACCACGCCCACAGCAAGGACCAGGTGCCACCACCCCACCCCTGATCCCAGCCATCAGCCTCCCTGTCTCTCCTTCCTGACCCACTTCCGGTTTCCCTGTCTATCTCTGTCCCTTCCGTCTGAGCCTCCTCCAGCTTCCTGTTTCTCTGCTGCCTTCTGGGTGTGAGAGTCCCCAGACTTCAGGCCTGGGTCTCTTCGCTTCTAATTGCTTCTAGGACCATCTGTCTAAAGCCCAGATCTATACTCCTCTGTCTGAAGACTCCTCCCGTTGTTCCCCACTGAACAAAAGAGGAAGTCCAGGACTGAGCTACGTAGCGAGGCCCCGTTTCAACAGAAGAAGAAAGAAAGGAAAGGCCGATTCAATGAAGTCATCAGATGACACCCGAGTCCACAGCCAGTGAAGGCAAACGTGGCTGCAGGTCCTCCCGGGCCTTGCAGACACCGCGAAAAGAAGCTGAGATGGTGCCCGGCAGGAGAGGCCTGGAGGGGACCCGGCCTGGTCCACAGAGAAACCTCCCAGGCACCCACCTGGGTCACAGTGCCTTAGCTTCCTTCACTGGGGTGGGGCAGAAAGAGCCAGAACGTCAGGACAGCTTGCTACACTAGGCAGGAGGACACTGTGAGCCCACGGGGCAGAGGTGAACCCCAGGAGCCAAGTCAGGGGAACAAGATCAGGCCCGGACCCAGAGCCCTCCGGCCGTGACAAAGGGTCACTGGCGTCAGCTCCCTCAGAGCCATTCCAAGTGACCCTCAGGAGCCCATTCAGGGTCCCCGGACTCCCACTGGCCCCACTATTTCTATCTGAAATACCCAGCTAAATACAATAAGTGAGTTGAGCTGGCACCTCCAGCAGTGAAAATATTTAGGCAAAGGGTGCAATCGCGGGTAACTACACCTAAGGCTGTCACAGGGTTACCATCTCCAGCCCATGCTGGGACCAGCACCAGGTTAGTGCAGAATAAAAGAGCAGTCGTTTATTCATTCGCAGACCAGAGGGGATTGGACACAGGACCTTCACACTGAGCTACATCCTCAGCCCTTTTTTAATTTTATGTTTTGAGACAGGATCTTGTGAAGTCACTAAATTGCCCAGGCTGGGTTCAAATTTGCAATCTTCCTGCCTCAGCCTCCCAGAGTGCTGGGGTTAAGGTGTGCGCCAAGCTAATAGCATTTGCTTTAACCTAGCCAGGGCCACACACTCACCCTCATTGGCTCATCAGGAAATCCAGGCTTGCTTGGCCTGTCCTGTCTCCGGGACCTCAGGAGCTGTTTGGCCTCTTTTTCCTTCAGAATTGGGCAGCCCTCTGAAAAATGCAGGAAAATCCTTAGGGTCTCACAGACCTGAGCTTCTTGCCCCATCTCCATGGCCCAAAGCAAAGCATTCCAAGTAGAATTTTTGTTGTTGTTGTTTGTTTGTTTTTCTGGTCCTGGGGATCTAATTCAGGACCTTGCACTTGGCAGGTGCAGTGCTACTGAGCTACATCCCCAGCCCCAGAAGTACAATTGTGGTCAGAACACAAAAGTTTGCCGGGTGTGGTGGCGCACGCCTGTCATCCCAGCACTCGGGAGGCTGAGGCAGGAGGATCGCTGTGAGTTCGAGACCAGCCTGGGCTACATAGTGAGTTCCAGGTCAGTCTCAACTACATAGTGAGATCCTGTCTCAAAAACAAAAAACAAAACAAAACAAAAAAAGAACACAAAAGTTCTTGCCCAGAGACCTGCCCCATTCCTCGGGGAGGAATTTTCCGTCCTTTTTCATAGCGTAGCAAACAAGGGTTTAACAAAAGCTGCACAATTTAAATCTACTTACCTATTGCAATGGCCCAGTCCTCTACAAGCCGGCATTAATTGATTAGCTGTGTTCCGTGAAATGTATTTTGCAGTTGTCTAGTTTCTCTTCCCTTGGGAAGAGTCTGCTTCAGTGGGATTTTCTTTTCTAAATTCTCACTTGACAAAATCAGGGACCGGGGATGTACCTTAGCAGCGCTGTGCCTGCCTAGCAAGCACAAGGTCCTGAGTTTGATTCCCGGCATTGAGAAGACAAAACAACCAGCTTACTCAAGAGACAAAATCAAATTTGTAGTTGTTCCTGGAAGATTCTCAGTCGCAACAAGATTACATTCAACTCACTTGTCAAACACCCCTCAAAGAAGAAATTATGGTAGTGGGATTAAACTGTTGGGGAATTGCATGCAAATGCTAAAGAATATTAACATGATAAAAGCATATCAAGTTTAGGTCATCTATGAACCGTAAAGGAAGGTAGAGTTCAGGATCTAGCAGCATTTTTGACTGGTTGGTATTAGTGCTCAAATACATTTAAAAAATAATAATACACCCCTCATGATGGCAGACCTAGAACTCTGCTCTTAAAGAACAAAAGAAAAAGCACTGAAATATCTATGCAATATATACTCTATATTATTTGAAATGGGAAAAAAAAGTACCAAATGCCCCATTACTGCAGCGTATCCTACTGGCCTGGAAACAGGCTGTGCTTTTGAGCCTCTCCCCACCTGACACGGAAGCCAACAAGGTGACGGCGGTCAGGAGCAGCGCAGCCAGGTTCCGCATCCCGGCCGCTTGCTTTCTCGGCCGCCTCTGGATGAGCGCTCCGGGCTGAGCCAGCAGCAGGATGTGCCCTGTGATGCTACCTGCGTGTGACTCTGCGTTCCCGGGAGTGAATCCTTGATCTGAATTCCTTGAATGCTTAATCCCAGGGAAGGAAATACGATTTCCAGAAATGACTGGAAGGCTGCGTGCAATATAGGTTTCATGTGGACAGAAAAAGATTGAATACGTTCTCGCAGTGGTTCCTGAGTGTTTATCTGTAGCATTTCATTTCACCGAGGTTTTGGGTTTCTTGTTTTGGGGTTTTGTTTGTTTTTTTGAAACAGGATCATCTACTACAAGGAGTTCGGGCTGGCCATGAACTCCAGGTGATCTTCCTGCCTCAGCCTCCCAAGTGCTGGGATCACGGGCTGCACCACCAAATCCGGTCAATTTCACTATGCTACTCTATGACATTCTTCCAACACTCACTCGTCAATCCAGTTTGAACCTTCCCTTCAGAGGTAGGCAGGGAAACTAGCAAGAGGCATCGTGCAGGAGGAAGTGTTCCCCAGCTGACTCTGGAGCTGGAAAGACCAGAGTTCGAATCCCATCTTCGCCTCTTACTTGCAGGATCCCTTTAGGTAAGTCAGCTACTCTTTCTGAACTTGTGCTTTCTCCTCTGGGAAAGAAGATAACGGTGCGTGCCTGTGGGGCTTGTGAAGGTGAAGGGAAGAGCTGCGGCCTCCATGTTGGCTATAACGCATGCACTCTCCACTTTCACAGATGGGGAAAGTGAGGTCCAGAGCAGTGTAATAAAGTTCAGGTTCACACACTGTGGATGCTGAGGGAGAGCCTAAGTCTTCCGTCTTCAAACCTACACTGCGTACTGGGCACGGCGGGGCACGCCTGTCATCCCAGCACTCAGGAGGCTGAGGCGGGAGGATCGCCATGAGTTCAAAGCCAGCCTGGGCTATGTGGGTAGGGGACCACTTTTTGGACACAGTGAAACCTTTAGGACTCGGGTCCTAGAGAGAAGCCCAACATCACTACAAGTACTCTCAGGAAAGGGGTTATGAGATCCACTTCCTTTTCTCTCTTTTAGTCCCCGGCTGGGGATGGAGCCATTTTACTCTACCATGCAGGCCTTGATGAGCTTCCTTGCCATGGGCTCAAGACAATGGGCCCAACTGATCGTGGACCAGAACCTGCCACATCCACGCCTCCTCACAGCGCTTCATACAGAATCTCTCAATACAACTATAAGCCACAGAACTCCAGACACAAGGCTGTTTTTGTAAAGATCAGAAAAATCTCAATATGCTGGAGTCCTCTTCAATCCATCTATAAATATCACACGGGCCAGGTGCAGTGGTGCACTGCTGTAATCAAAGCACTGCTTGGGAGGCTGAGGCAGGAGGATCACAAGTTTTAGGCCAGTCTGGGCAACTAAGCAGCACCCTGTCTCAAAAATAAAAAGGGTTGGGGATACAGCTCAGGGACAGAGTGACCCTGGGGTTGATCCCCAGTGCCAGTCAGTCAATCAACCAATCAGTATCACATGATGATGTTATGAAATATATTACAAATAGATCGGGAAGGGATGTAGCAAATATTTGGATACAGCTATCGAGAAAAATGAGCTGATGTTTCTGTGGCCACTTCGCCAATTCCAAAGAAAAGAAAACCTGATCTGTAGTTGTCAGAGTTCATGCTGATGCTGTGTAACTGACACCAAACCAAAATGTTCTGCCTGTTCTGTTGGTACAAAGACACTCTGAGCAGATTGCAAACCAGATCGCCCCCCCGAAAAAAATCATGCATTGTTAGCAAAGTTCCCTCACATGTTAATTCAATTTGGCCTTTGGTTTTATGCACTCATGCTATTAAAACCCTTCCAGTTTCATGTAGATTTCAAGAAGTAAGGAATTTTAAGAGAATTATTTAAGGAATATATATATATATATTCGTCACTTTAATATCTTGGGTTTTTATGTGCATATATATATATATTTTACATCCTTTTCTCTGTGTGATTGGATAGAACACTATGTTGCTTTGCTATATCAAATAAACACCTTCCATGAGCCAGAAAAATAAACCACTCCTAACTAGAAATTTCTAATGTGGATGATGTAAGCGGATTCCAAAAGTATTTTTTAATTTACTAATTTTTGTTGCTATCAAGACTGTTCAATGCCATCATAATATGAGCCACAGATGCAAGCCACATAGATAATTCAGATTTTCCAGCCAGGCACGGTAGCACGCACCTGAAATCCCAACTCTCAGGAGGCTGAAGCAGGACGGTTGCCATGAGTTTGAGGCCAGCCTTGACTATAGAGCAAGGCCTTGTCACAAAAAACACGCCCTCCAAAAATTTCCAGATAGCCACATGTTTAAAGGGTTAACAAAAAGATTGATTTTAAATATTTTACTTAGCACAGTGAGTTACCCAAAGTATTATTTCAACACGCAATCACTATACATGATTGATTTCAGGATGCTAAACATTTTTCGTCACAAGTCTTCAAAACCTGCTCTGCACCATGCGCATTCACATTTTCAGGGTTGAGCCACCCCAGGTGCTCGTGGCTTCCATGCCAGACATTCAAGCCACTGTCTCCTTTCACTCCACTTTCACTCTGGACCCCTGCTGGCCTCCCAGCTTCCTGCCTGTCTCTTCAATTCGTCCTCTATGCGGCAGCAAAAAGGATCTTATCATCACAAAACAGAAAAAGAAAACAGAAGTGTGACCTCATCATTTCTCTGCTTAATGATCTTCCTACCAGACTGCACAATAGCAGAGTCCTTACCATGCACTCCAGAACCCTGAGTTCTCTGTACCTACTCTTCTCTCCAGCCCTACTCAGTCTACTCCCCTCCAGTTCACTGCAATCACTTAGTTACTTTCAGTTTAACAAGCTCTTTCCTACCTCAGGACCTTTGCACATGCTCTTTTCATGACTGCATCCTCCAGGTTTCAATTTGAAATCTCTCCCATTAAGGAAAATCTGCTCTTCCTTTCCTGCCTACTTAATCAGATTTCCTCCCTTGGGCCACCACCATTGCTGGTCTTCTCATAGAACTCACCATATTATATTTACTTCTTTTATCCATCTCCTCCACTGAACTGTAAGCTCTAAGTAAACTTGTGTCACTTTGCTAACGGGCTAGAGAAATGACACTGAGAACTAGTCGTGGGCACCCTGAGATGCTGGCACAACGTCTAGGGTGGAAAGATATCCCTCTGCTGTGATACTGGCAGTGTCCTTCAAATGCCCTTCAGCTTGCCCACTGGGGATACCGCCCCAAAGGGGGGAGCTCTAGTAGAAGAAAGAGCAGGTCTTTGTGTGCACTCACTCTGATACGGAGAATTAATTCCTGGCTGCCTCGTCCCCAGTGAAGTCACAGTTGGGCTCGCAGTAGAAGACGCAATTCCCAATCAATCCACCAGGTGGCAGAGTAGACAGAAGAATCAGGGACACCCCGGGGTCTGGAGGAAGTAAGGCCATCAAGGATAACTAGAAGTCGCCAGGGGTCCCAGAGAATCACTGGGAGTGAGGAGACTGGTACTACTGTGCCTAAGACTAAGACTAAGATGTTTTAGTGCGTGCACTACCGCAAAGTTTTCATCGCACGCTAAGGCTTGAGAACGGTTACCACGGAGGAGGGTGGGGGGTACTGGGGATCGAACTCGGGACCCGGCAGCGTCGCTGAGCTACATTCCCAGCCCCAGAACTTTTTTTAATATACAAAGGTACTGAATTTGGAGACTGGGGCTGTAGCTCAGTACTAGAGCACTTGCCTAGCACGCAGGATTCCTAGGTTCGATCCCTACTAAACAACATATAAAGTTGTGCAGATGAAAGAAAGAAAAAGAAAAAGAGAAGGCTATTGAATCTACCCCAATCGAGAGAATTACATGTCCGTGTTTTTTTAGGCCCGGGTCAATTACACAAATTCTAACAGTTCCTGCCAAGGTTGTTTTCACCTTTATTATTATTATTATTATTATTATTATTATTATTATTATTATCTACCTTTCCACCTAGATTACAAACTGTATGCTGACCGTGGACATATCATTCTTTTCTAACTGTTAAAGTAGCGACAGCCACCGTGCACCCTGCATGCACGAACATTCACACACTGAGAGATAACCGCAGGCGGACGATAGGCTTGGGTGAGGTTATCAGCATTAGTCCTTCAGCGCAGGCACCCTGACTCTGGGCCGGACTGGCTGCTTCGGGCAATGGGGTGGCAGCAGATGTGACCAACCAGGGCATGTATAATAAATCTGTGAGGTGAATCCACTCAAGCCAGACCCACCTCGCTCAAGCAGCCTCCAGCAACTGCAGCCTGAAGCAGAGCCCCCATCATTCTGTAGACCCTCGAGAATAAGTTGTCACTATCACTATTATGCGTTATTGTTGTTGTTATTGACACCAAGGCTAGGGATGGTTTGTTATGCAGCACTGTCGTAACAGAAGCTGACTGATACAGAAGATTACAATCGGATGCTCGGTGTGTCCAAATCTGGATGCTACCAGGTCTAAGATATCAGCTGGGTCACCCTCCTGCTCCTCCTCCTTCTCCTCCTCTTCCTCCACCAGTTCTGCGAGAAGATCACGGAAAAGCAAATGACTACCTTCCTGCGCAGGCAGGGGTATCGTAGTTAAGGCTGTGGGCTGAAACATCCCCAGTTGACCTGGGCTTGAATCCTGGCTCTCAAATGTGTGGCCTGAGTTACTAGGAAACTGTGCACCACTGGCCAAATCTCTCAACGTTCCAAGTCACTGATGCTTTGCTGATTAAAAAGAAGAAGAATTATAGTCACACTGACCCCCTAAGGTAGTCTGAAACTTAAAAGCGATGGTATATTTAAGAGTGTAATGATTGGAGTCTCGCACTTGGGAACCATTATGGTTTCTAGTGTGACCATTACTACTTGAAAGTCTAATACTGTGCTTAGAAATCATTATGAAGATCACCATCAAGATTCCTCTCCCTCCTCTATGTGAAATCACCCTGATGTGTATTCATACACTCACTCCATTCTCAGACACGTTATGGAAAAGCTGTACAAAAGATTGTGAAGGACCAAAGGTGACACAGATTAATCGCACCTATCGCTGGGCGTGGTGGCGCACGCCTGTAATCCCAGCACTCCGGAGGCTGAGGCAGGAGGATCGCTGTGAGTTCCAAACCAGCCTGGGCTACATAGTGAGTTCCAGGTCAGTCTCAACTACATAGTGAGACCCTGTCTCAAAAAACAAAAAACAAACAAAAAAATCGCACCTATTAAAATACACAACTTATATGTTGTTGAAATAAAAAAAGGTGTCTCTATTAGAATAGAAAACATGCTCCCTTCTTAATGCGAGCTGCTGTGCCCCTCTCACATCTCGACCCTGTCCTGCCTGTGTGCCTGGTTCCGCTTTGCTTAGCCTTGGCAGGGTACACACCCATCACTTCCTGTTTGGAGCAATACAATGGCAAGATGTTTGGCTTTGGACAGGGCCATTTCCTGCCTGCTGTGTGCTTCTGCAGATGGACCTTAATTCTTCCAGTGGGCCCAGGACATTGGCCTCAGTGGGTGTGCAGCCGGCCAGTGAGGACAGCCAAGGTCAGCAGTGGGCCAGAGCCAGGCCGCTGTCCAACCTAAACAGAAACACGAGGACGCTGGCCGAGGGGCAGGATGTCAGATGGGGACAGATGACCACGGGAGGGGAGGGGAGCATGGGCACCATGGTTTGTGAAGCCACTTCACAGGCTGCTGTCACTTTACATTTTATTCAGGAAAAGCGCTGGACCTTACGCTGGAAGACAGCACGAGTTCTGGGGAAAGCACTGACTCGCGGGTTGTTTTTCCTCTGTGGAACTTCAACGTGGTTCTGGCAAACACACTCACACACACACACAGACCTGAGGATCAACGGATCCGGTTAGAAGATGCAGAAACATCGCCACCTTAATTTTGACAAAGGAGCCAAACAGTTGCACTGCAGAAAAATAGCCTCTTTAATAAATGGTGCTGGAAAAACTGGCTTTCCATAGGCCAAAGATTAAAGTTAGACCCGTATCTTTTACCACACTCTAAACAATTTGAAATGGCTCAAAGATCTATTAAAACAGAAACAGCTAATCTTTTGCCACATAGAGTAGGTAGAACTCTTGAAGACATTGGTATAGGCCAAGACTTCATGAACAAAACCCCAATCGCACAGGAAATATCACAAAGAATCAACACCTTATTAAAAAGCTTTTTCACAGCAAAAGAAGCCACCAACAGAGTGGGTTAGGAGCCCTTCCAGCTTTGGCCTGAGACAGACCTGGAGTCAAAGCCCCAATTCGCTCCACTCGACTCTAAGGAGAGGCTATTGTTGAAAACTTTTTCATAAGCCTTAAACTTTTCATATTTTTTACCTAAATAGGAGAATCTAAGGGAATCCTCCTAAACTGAGTTGTTTAGAATTACAAAATACTAGAAGCAACTTAAACAGCCAACCGCAGAAGTTAGGTTACATAAACTGTGAGTTATATTCATAGAATGGAATATTGTGCAGCCAGTAAATAGGACTTTTAGGAACATGTAAATTTTGTTATATAATAATAAATGCTGAGACAGCCAGACAGAAAAAATATATATTTGATCAAAAGTGTGTATAGTAAAAAAGAAGCCACTATCTCCACAAAAACAGTGGAAAAAAATAGGCCACAGTGTTCAAACACAGTTTCTTGGATGAGAGATGAATGTTTTCTTCCCCCCCCCTTTTTTTTTTAACTTTTCTGTATATTTTCCAATGGGAATGGGGTGAAACAATGTCACTTTTTAGCTAGGCATGGTGACACACGCCTGTAATCCCAGCACTTGGGAGGCTGAGGCAGGAGGATCACTGCCATTTGGAAGCCAGCTGGGCTACAGTGTGAGTTCAAAGCCAGCCTGAACTACAGAGTGAGACTCTGTCTCAAAAAAAAAAAAATAAATAAAAAAAATTAAAAAAAGCTCCTTTTTGGTACTGGGGATCGAACTCAGAACCTCGCGCTTGCAAGGCAAGCAGAAGAGGCGCCTTTTAAGTGTATTCTTTTGCTACATTTTCAAGCCTAAACTAATTTAAGGGGCCTGCATCAGCTAGGACGTATACAAGGCAATGGTGACACTTGCACAACGGCGCAGGCTGTCCCCAAGCAGGGACACTTGGCCCCCCTTCCATACAACAGATGAGGGACCAAGGGCCGCGGAGACTGACAAGCCCAGGAGGTCAGGACTCACCACTTCTCCCATTTCACCAC